TTGTAAACGTCAAGGGGATGGGCACTGTTCAAAAAGGAAAGCCCCCACAGATGTTACCATGGCAAAACTGGAAGAGTGACAATATTACCCAGAACGCTGTTGGCATTGCTGTAAACAAATAAGGGCAAGATTCTTGCCAAGAGAATTCATGTATTGAGCATGTTAAGCACTGGAAGAGCCAAAATAGCTTCCTGAAGCATGTGAAGGAAAATGATCAGAAAAAGAAGGAAGCCAAAGAGAAAGGTTTTTGGGTTCAACTGAAGCATCAGCTTGATCCGCCCAGAAAAGCACATTTTGTAAGAACCAATGGACAGGAACCTAAGCTGTTGGAACCTATTCCCTATGAATTCATGGCATGATAAGTGTAAAAAATTCCAAGCAGAAACACACAAAAAAATCAGGCAATACTCCAGGTCTCTTGGAGAGTAACCAAAAGAAAACATAAACTCAGGTTTGCGTTTCTTTGTAGTGCCTTATGGCCAAAATACTGGCAGAGGGAGCCGCCCTTAAAATACTCTCATATATTTTCAGAGTATCATTTCTCCAAAAGATTATGTTACTGCTCATCTATTAGCATGAAAATTGTATAGTTCCAATCCCCTCCATGAAACAAATCTAGGAAAAAAAATAAGGTCCACATTTCCTTTTTACAATTAAAGGTTACCTTTTGTCAAATTTTAAAACAATAGAAATGCTCTCAAAGTTTTCACTCTTTTTCTCCAAATAAATACATATTTATTTTTAAATAAATTATCAATTTATAAAAACCTTTAAAACTTTAGACATTATTTCATGTAACTTCATAGCTAGAATCATGAGCTTTCTGAACGGACAAGAACATTTTTGTACATAGGCTATCTGATTAAATCAAAATATTTATGAGATGGTTATAATTATACACTATTGTTCATATGCTACTTCCATAAAGTATAATAATACTTTTTTATTTCCTGATTTGAAATTCAGGTTGTATTACAGTTGGCCAGAATGAAAATAAATTAAGATACTAAAAATGAAGAAAGCTATTGCCTGAGTCACCTAACACATACTAAAAAAGTTAGGTTTCAGAATGTGGGTGCGTTTTTTCTTAACCTAGGTAAGGGATACACAGGTATTTTCTGTTGTTGTTCTTTAAATTCTTCTTATGCATTTTTCACTATATGTATGTATGGTATATTTCCCAATGAACTTTTTTTTTAACTGAAGTATAGTTCCAAACTTTGGGGGCTGTCTCTGCCTTTACCAGTAATCTCTCTCAATCTTCTAAATGATCAATTTCAAAACTAGTTTCTTAAATACTCTATTTCTTTACATAGAAGATATTAAATAAAAAACACACAGCCATAAAGATACTAAACAAAGAACACAGTGGCCACATAGTCTGGCAGGTCTGACAACTGTTAAAGAGTCCTTATTAAAGGTAGTGATATTTCTTAAAAATCAATGTAGAAACTAGGTAATAGAGAATTAGACATGAAGCTCCTGCCTCCAGTATATTAAAAAATTCTTAAGGGCAGGACTGCATCTTATTCACAGCCTTTAGCACACAGTTTCACATTTAATATTTGTGGAACTAAATGACCCTTAATGTGGCTATTACTGTGTAGGGACTACAGTACCTACCCATCATTTTCTCAACTAAATGTAAGATCTCTATTTGCAAAATAGGAAAAATTATTTCACTGTTGGGTTCCAATGAAATGCAAGTCCAGGATATGTAGCTACAAATGTGCAAGGGTATGATTTTCTTTTCATGTTTACAAAATGGGTTTGCATACAACACAATCTCTACTGTTTCATTAATAAAAATATTAATACTTTTTAAGAAATGAAGTAATAAATAGTAAGACATCACTCTACTTATCTATAATATGTGTAGCTGGCAATACATATTTTACAAGGATCTGCTTAGTAATATTCTTTGTTCTTTAATATAAGATTTCTCTCACAAGAGGAATCTTAGGTCAGGTCTAGCCTGTTATATTCTCTTTCTCTGGATGAGAGGCAATTTACCCAGTGATAGATACTGAGGTTAATACCTAGTAACTGTTAGTGGCAAACTTAAAGAGGAAACCCGAGAGTTGACCTTTGCCTCACCTTCTCTTCTTTACCTTCCAAAGGAGGATACTGGTTTTGAGCCAAAAACAAGTAATTCAGTGTGTAGCTTTGTGTACTAGGCAACGAAGTGAAACTATCTGCCCTGGAACTGCTGCTATTTTGGATTTTCTTAGTTCTGTTCTCCCTTCTTTCTGTGTGTCTGTCTCTCTAAGAGGCTTAGGTGGTAAAAGCAACCTGGGGCTGCCTTTATCCTGTCCCATATGAAGATCAAATAGAGTAGGGCTCAGGGTTCCTTAGGCCTGCTTCTAGTCTAGGGAAAATGCGCTCTCAAGATCACTTACCAGGTCAGTTAACAAAACCAAAGGCAATACCTGGATATTCTCTATGCATGTTGTGCCCCTGGAGATGTCAGATATAGAATAGAAACTCAATGGAAAATTCAGCTGAGGTCCTGATCTTTTCCATATTTACCATGACTTCAACATTAAAAAAAAGTGCCAAAAAAAACTTGATAAGGACTTTGATGGCTATTTTCAAAAATTAAATTTGCCTGTTTTCCACAATATTCTGTTTAGGGAAAAGAAAAAGCTAAGCTAGAAAATAAGGAATAAGGCTTTCAAAATCATTAGCATTTTTAGTCATTATTATTTCAATCATTATTATATCTTCTCTCTTGTAAGGAGACTATTCTGTCCTCATATATTACCTCTCCAATATCCAACAACACAAGGGCAATTAGTATAAATGCCATCAGATCTATTATCTGCATATCTTTAAATCATTACAAAATGAAATATACATATAACTAATATTTTTGCCTTGTTAGACATCTTTGATATGCTGATTTTTCTAAGTAAATCTTATAACAAATACTTCACGTATCCTTATATTAATTCCATTTTTTCTCTCCTTTCCCATTCCTATCCCCTTTCCACTACTAACTCTCCCTTCTTTTCTCTCCTCTCTTCATGTTCCCTTGTCGGTGCCACAGGAGAGTACCACAAAAACTCGAGGGCACTGCTTAAGCCTCCTAGGTTTGCTGACCTCAAGTTGAGAAATCCAATTCTAGAAATTTGGTAATCACCTATTATGTATACTTTCATCCCAATTCTAAATTCAAAGATTAAATTAGACAAGAGTTCAGTGCTAAGGGGATGACAAAGTATTAGCCACTAATAAACTACTATAGTATCTGAAAGTACATGTGAACAAACGGGGCTGAGATTCAGGTTCTCTGTAAGCATGAGGTTAAACAATCAGCATTTTGGATTGTTCCAGAATGACAAGGCAATGAAAAAGTTCTGAGGAATTTATAGTTTTATAGACTTTCTTCAGGACAAAACATATGTTTAAAATTTGTCATGCAGGATGCTTTGCTGTCCTGCCACACTCACATCAGCTGAATAAGCTCTTAGCCAAGCCACTGAAAAAGGGAAAGAGAAGAGAGCCCTATGGACATCTGAGATCACATGTGTTACTCTCTCCCATTTTTGTTAAAATTCTGCAAAGGTTTTCAAACAGTTCCCCTCCTTGCACAGGGAATAAGCTAGCTTTTCTTTTAAAAGCCATACATAACGCGTATGCCAGAATTACTAAATCCAGAAAATTAACACAGATGCATACTTAATAAGAAAACAATTAGCCTGAGGCAGGTGGAAAACAACAAAAAAGTCAGAAATATTTTAGGCTGTCACTACATGACTTGTTTTTCAAGTTTTGATTTCGTTTTAGCCTGTCATTACATAACCTACCTTTCAAGCTTCATTTACACGCCACCATGCACACCCCTCTTCCTCATATAGCCAAAATGAACTTTTTAGTTTCTCAAATCCTTCAGGTTTTTGCTCTTCATTCAACACTTCTACATATGTGCTCCCTCACCTATTACACTTATCTCTTCCTCAGAGTAACTCCACATCATCTCCTTTAATACCTTAGACTGCATAAAATACTCTGTCTGCTTGCACAGTATTTTTAAGCCTCATGTAATAATTTTTTTAACAGAACATCCCCACTGCATTTTGGGAAGTAAGAAAGCTTTTACAATGCCTAGAAGACTGCCTGACAAATAATATAAATCAGTAACAATCTGGCTAGAAGTATTAAGAATTCATAATGCCTTAGGAGGCTTAAGACTCTGTCCACAAACCAACTCTCCACCTACCCTATTTCTTACTCCTTTCACTCACCCGGTTTCAACTCCATGGCTCTCTGCAGCTGGTTTCTCTTCCCGGAAAGGAACCGACTATCATCTACTTCTCTTTCAGGTCAGGCAATAAGATGTCAGGAAAGGAGCATCTGATTTATTACTCCTCCCACTCCCAGGCGATTTCATAATTACATCTTTCCCTGTTGCTTCCTCCAATAGAGTGCTAGGTCTTCACAGAAGGGATCTTCTGTTATACTTGCCAATGTCCAGTTTATCTCTATACCTACAGCACCTAGAGCAACAGCTGATAAACAGGAGGTTCTCAAAAGTGGGGAAAGGAAAGGAGGGGGGAATGGGGTCGATATAGATTGTTTTCCTCAAGGAACTTATCAGCCCTTTCAACAAGTAATTTAAGTAATCTGTGGTTTTAAACCCCTATATTTGTGACGTGTGTGTGTGTGTGTGTGTGGCATTAAGAGGATTATCGAGGCTCAAAAGAATTTCAGGAAGTAAAGAACCCATACCAAAAATGATTTGGACATTTTTTTGTTGTTGCTGAAAAGTCGACTGCACGAAACAAATAATATAAGTTTTAATTAAGCAAAGTAATAGTGAGAAGGACAAATTCAGAAGTCCTAGGAAACCCCACCTACCCAGCACAGGGCCTGGAAAGTATTTAGAATTTAAATTAGTGCGTTGAAGTCATGCTTCCGTATTCTAAAAACCTAGTAATCCTGGCGGTTCGCCACATTCCTTATAAAAGTTTTACTCTTTTCCCGCCGCCTTCATTCACCTCGCAAAGTCCGCCCGCGGCGCTCGGCACTGCTTCGCGGCGCTCGGCACTGCGTCCCCCCACCCAACAGAGGGCAGTGGGCCTCCGCGATGGCCTCACACGGAATGCGCAGCTGAGCCCGGGCAGGTCTCCGCTTGGAATTCGTGTGGAGAAACACTAAAGTCTATTATATAGCGACAAACTAGAGTCCTCTCTCATATGACACTTAAAGTACAGTCCCTACGGCCACTCAGTCCCGCAGACCTCAAGGCAGGCACCTTCCCCTTCCGCTCCCCCGCCCCCGACCTTCTTCCGCTTTTCGCTCCCTTCTTCCGCTCCCCCTGGACTCTCTTCCTCTTGCCGGGGTCTCCCTTTCGTTCCGCCGCGTGCGTTCACTCGTCTCGGGTCCTCGTCCCTTTTCCCGGCCTCTTTACCGTCGCCCGCGTCTCCTCCTCTCCTGGCGCCCTTTTAAGTTCTCCAGCGGGCACGCCTGATTCCGGAAATCCTGCCCGGTCGCCCAGCGCCCCCATTCTCCCGCGCTATGGCGTGCCTGTGCGGGCCTTCCCTTGGGTCGTGAGCGAACCCGGGATGAATGGACCTGCTTCGCGTTAAGGGCGTTAAAGACTGGCTGGTCCAGCGAAGCTTATAGACTCCATTTATTTTTCAGGCTCCCTCTATACGTGGGAAGAGTGGAGGGAGAAGAAAGCCAGGTCAGGGAATTTTGAAAGAGAAGGGGAGAGGAAGGTACCAAAAGCTGTTACTTCTTGAACATCTTTTCTGCGTTATTGAACGCGGAAAGTATTTGTCTTTTTTTTTTTTTTAACGAATACTCAGCATATGCCCTGCGTGTGATACGATTTTTATAAAGCTTAGCAGGCTTAGGATTCTGTGCCAGTAGCTATCCTATGGAGCCAACAGGACTCTCTTCGGAAGACAGCCGGAAAGGAATGCCATTTTCCACTAGGATTGGGATCGTTTTGTCAAAAAGGAGGAACAGAAGGTAGATCTTAGTAAATAAGGGAATAGGCTGGTGGGAGGAACAAAGTGCTAAGAAGGGGAGATGAGAAGCAAGTTTTAGGGTATGGAGATGTGGATAGTAGGGAAGAATTGGGAACCAAGTTTGGACCGATGGGAAGAAGTCCAAATATTGAAAGTATTTAATTCCAATTTAATATGAAATGAGCAGCCATTACACTGTTGAGCAGGAAATTCACTTGATTAAATGGTGATTTGGGAGAATTAGTTTGTAGAGTGGGGGTAACTAGATGTATTGTTTATGCCATAAATTTGTATGTGGTTATATGGTGCTGCACAAGTTCTGTGTATTGGTGTATGGGACTGTGGCTTTACAAGATTGGCAGCTGTGGCTAAGAGGTTTGGCCTTTAACATTTTTTGTGTAGATTCCCTGCTGGTATGTATCTTTTTTTTCCCCCCCATCCCCCCACCCCCCTCCCCTCTAGAACCCTCAGTTTGTTTCTCAGAGTCCATAGTCTCTCATGGTTTTTTTAAGTTCAAACAAAGTGTGTCTTTACGGATGATACTGTCTCATGCCTTATCTTTTTGCCAAGCATTTAGTTATTTGTTGGTTCTCAGAATTTACCAACAAGTTGAGGAGATACAATGTTTTAAAAGTTTTTAGAATACACACACTATCAAAAGAGGTCCAAAGCACCTTAGGGATTTGGAGGAGGGAAAAGAGGTTGGCAACTAGTGAAAATCAAGGAAGGTGGCCCCAAAAGAGGGCATTTATGCATTTTCAGTACTATGACTAATAACGCTAACAGATAAAACAGCATTTATTTTTTCTAATTGTGCTTAAGTAGTGCCTTTTTACCCATAGCTATGCGAGTGTAATAGGAGAGAATGGGAATTTGCAATGAGGTGTCCGGTGTCAGGTAGTGTAACGGAACCAACATGAGTTCTCTCTTTGGTGAATCAGAAACTGCACAGGTTGACAAAGAAAACTTATTTATAGCAAATGAGATCGTGGGGAATGGCTCCTAAAGCCATGACTCCCTGAGAGCGGCTGAATTCCTTTTGTTTAGGGTTAGAAGGAATATTTAGATAGGGAAGCCTTGTCATCCTATGTACAGGCAGGCATAAGGTCATGCATAGCCTAAGAAAACATGCCTATGTATACATTATGTGTTATGCAGAGGAGGCTGAGCTCTTCCTTGGGTGGAGATTTTAGTATTATAATGAGGTAAAGATCATTGTAGGTCATTCTAGAGGTCACTCCATGGTCCATCTGTGTAGGCACGAGTCAGATTTAGCTTAAATGGTCTGAATGGTCTGGGAAGGTGGGATGGCAGGAGGTCTTGTCTGGGTATTCCTCATCCCCTGGGGAGTAGTGTTAGGTTTCCTTTGCCTGAGTCAAAAAGAAAGCTGGAAAGAAGAGCTTCAGGAAAAATGTAAGACAAAGGTAAGTAAGTATGAGCAAGTGGGCAGTAAAGGCCAGGTTTTGGTGCCAAGCCCATAAATTGGAACCTATTTTGAGGTTAAACCACAAAAAAAGTTAAAGTTTAGTGAGTACAAGCAGGTGGGAGCTGGGAAGGCTGAGACCAAAATATCTGGTACTTGCTTCCCATATCCTGTAGAAAGAGGGAAAGTTTTTCTATTTCAAGACCTAGTCTTTCTCATTTCTTTTCTAGTAGCATTCTGATTACTCATCTATATGTATAGCATTTCACTGTACTTGCACATACAACCTAGTGTCAAAATACCTTTTACTATAATAATGGTTGTGCCAAACCACAAACTAAAAGGTAGTGCACTGTAATATTAGCAGGTTGTATCCAGTTATTTTTTAACTGCTGGCTCAATAAACAAATATTGGATGACAATTTCTTTAAACATTTGCTTTTTCATAAAATACATATCCAGGTATTCTCCGCCTCCTTCACTTGACTGTTAAACTGCTTTCTTCCTTTTACTCCATATCATGTTATAGTGAAAACTTTTCAATACAGATATCACCCACTATCTAAGTTACCATTAGGGGCGCCTGGGTGGCTCAGTCCTTAAGAGTCTGCCTTCGGCTCAGGTCATGATCCCAAGGTCCTGGGATCGAGCCCCACATCGGGCTCCCTTCTCCGTGGGAAGCCTGCTTCTCCCTCTCCCACTCCCCCTGCTTGTGTTCCCTCTCTCACTGTGTCTCTCTCTGTCAAATAAATAAATAAAATCTTTAAAAAAACAAAAAAAAGTTACCATTAAACCTTCCATAAGCCAAAATGGCATAAAGCAAAGAAGAAATTACTATTTATGGGAAAATTATTGAGCAACCCCAGACCCAAAAATGGTAATGAGACCCAGAAAATGATGCCCTCTCTTTATTCCCATTCTTATACAAAACTATCTTGGGCACAGGAGAGCCACCTAAGTTACTGGGATGGCTGTCAATTTTAAGACTTCTGTGTGAGGTTTCCTCCTTATTGGTCTAATGTGATATCCTCCACGTCCCTGGTCTAGCCACCTCTGGCGAAGAGACCTCCACCTAGAGCCAGCCAAACCAGTACCCGATGGAATTAAAACCCAACCAGGGACTGTTTCCGAGGGAAGTTGGCTGTAAAGACTACTTGTGTTGGAATGTCGCTTAGACCATGGTGGATTTCTATTTTCATCAGCGTCCCCTACTGACTACTTGAATTACAACATTGGGTAATTTCCTCTTATAAAACTTTTCTAGTGTCTTCCATGGGTTAAAAACAGGTTTTTCTCAACATGGCACAGTATTTCAACCCATTCATTGGCACCATTTGTAGTCGAGAGTGCAATGGGGAAGTGGAGGGATGCCAGCATTCCAACAAACCCTCCCACAGGGCAAGGTTTGTTCATAGCGATTTTCATCCAAGGGATGCCTCTGCTCCCTTTGACACTAGGAACCTCTGACACATCCTGTGTGGGATGCCACCTGGGAATTGGGGGCGGGGGATTTTCTTGGTAATACACCTTCTTCTCAGTCCCCAAGGACTCTCTCTTGGGATGCCTTTTAACCCACTGGAAACAATTCAGATTGCTAGATTTAAGGAAAAATAGGACTCATCTTCTGTAGCACTGTATGACCTCAATACTCCTTAGGAGACAAGGAACAATGGCCCATTAAGCTTCAGTATGATCTATCAGTTAGATTTCTTCTACAGGAAACAGGACAAATGGGCTGAGGTACTCTGTATGCAGGCATTCATGACCCTAAGTCAGGATCCCGACCTATGGGCCTCTTGCAGAATGTGTTTGGCCGCTAACCAAGCTACTAAACCCCCCTTCCAACATTGGATGATGATTATCTAAAAAGGCCTCCTCCTCCTAATAGACCCAGGTTGCCAAAGGAATCACAGGCCATCCCTAATAAAGGGGATGCTGACTCTCTCACTGTTCCTCCTCCTAATAGACCCAGGTTGCCAAAGGAATCACAGGCCATCCCTAATAAAGGGGATGCTGACTCTCTCACTGTTCCTCCTCCTAATAGACCCAGGTAACTCTTGTTGTATGGTGAGGGCTTCTCCCTCATTCATTTCCCAGGTTAATGGCTATGATAATTGGAGTCAGTTGTCTGTGGTTAGGCTACCTCAGGACAGGGACCTTAAGGAATATTCCCAAGCAGCTGTTGAAACTCCTTTGGTTTCAGGGAAGTTCCCTGTCTCTTCTGATCTGACATGGAATGCCTGTTTTCACCTTTTGTTGGTGAGAAAAAAACAAACTGTCTGTTCATCTGTCTGAGCTGATAAGCTCTAGCACGTGAGTCCTCTATCCGCCCTGTGGCCTTTCATCCACTTGCAGCCTTGCTGGCCACGCCTCACCTTTTCTGCCTTGGGTTCCTCCTCCTGTTTCTGCACCACCATAGGTGTGGCCTGTATAACCGCTCCTATACCATCTCAGTGCCTCCAGCACCATCAGCTCCTACTCTTCCTACCCTCGCTATCAAGGAGTGAAAAGCACCCCTCCTTAGACTTAAACGGACCACTGCAGATTTCTCCATCAATGCCCCAAGTAAAAATTGACAGTGGGGAATAAATTAATTGAATTTTGGCAGATACAGGTGCAACATATTCTATATTAAAGCTGATTTGAGTTTGTTGGTTTCATCAAGATTGACATATCTTTGGAGTTGTCAACATTAAGTATAAAACTTTTATCAAGGTTTAGTAAAGGTCAAATAGGCTTGTGTTATCTCGCAATTTGTCAACAAAATATGACATAAAATGATGGTTAATTTTGTCTGTCTCAAAGTTTTCACAGGTAATTGTT